CACGCATCCTAGACATGCTTCAATCCTTTGGGTTCTTGTTTGTATTTCTGGTGGATCAAGTATTCTAGCGCCTATAAGAGCAGATGGGGGTATGATAGGGTTCAGGGTACATTTGAATTCAATGCACCCTAAACCTGAAACCCACCATTTTAGAATTCTACCCGCCTACAAGGTCGCACCTTCCAGTTCACTGACGGTTGTGTAGCACAGTGGCCAACTGTCAGGACCAGAGTTGGAGAGAAGCCATTCTATCGCACCATGGACGTGTTCGTTGCAGGGGGGGAGGCACAGATCTTCTTTTTGAAAGGGAACCTAATCGAGATTTTCCCAAGCTAGGGCCCAAGTTGTGGATGCTTTTTTCAGGCGGTGCAGAAGTGTAAGGGTCATCTTGAGTCCTGTAGGGTTTAGCAAAATGGTGGGTTGTAAAATGTAACTATTACCATTTCTCCCCCTTAGAGCTCATCAAGCGCAGGAGTCCGACGTTAGGATCGAAGGGATAGGAATTGAGGTCCAGACCTGATTTCTTGCCATCATCTGCCAGTGCTTCCGTGGTAATGTGCGCAACGAAGGCTATGCTACAGCCTCACGTGCTAAAACAGCTTGACTGGGCACAAACATTTCTTCTTTGATCGTCTCCACAAGTTTTTTTTTGCTTTGAGAAACATGGGTACATATGGGTGCATGTCTGGGTTTCCTCCAGCAAAGAAGGGGACCAAACATATGAGAGAATCCACAATGTCCGCTTCGGTTTTCTTCCAAAAGGTTCCCATGTATGTCACAGTAAGACGTGGAAGCAATATCAACCCTGGTCTTCTAGGCACTTATCAGGTTCAGTGTTGTGTCCCTGTGTTAGAGCTTCAGGTTTTTCGTTGAGTTTTGTTACGCCTTGAAGGTGGTCCTTTTCAGGCTCCATCTCGATTAAACACATGCGCAAGGTCCCCTTGCAGGTTCCAGCTTAGTATGGGCGACTGGAGCTTGTACAAACCCCAGGGCCTTTGAAGCATTGGGTCCATGACATGTGAAGTTTTCAGATTTTTTGCAGCTGAGGAGTTTGGCCATCTAAACCCCTACACTGTCAAGGCTCAGATATCCCAATTTCCTGGAAGACCCTGGCCGCATGGCGGGAGCAAGTAATCTACGTCGGAGGAAGCAAAGAAGATCATGGATGGTAGACCAAAAACAGGGTCCTGTTTCACTGAATCCTTTTTTCGGCAGTCTTCCCATTTCCATCTTCCACACACTCAGTTTTCTTTTCATCAGCCGTTCGTACCTTCCGCTCTTCTCCAAGGAACGGCCTAATCATAATTGTGAACAGTAAACATTTCGAGCCGTAAGAGTTGGATATGAAATCTGTAGGCATCCAGATTTCGCTAAAACCTCAGATTACAGTTCAGGGTTGAGACGAGCGGGGTGGGCAAGTGCTTTGGGTATAACCAAGATGGCATTTTCCAGCCACCTCCAAGCCAATAGCCTGACACCAGGGCTTGTTTTGCGCCATGTGCCATGGTTCGCTTCATTGCGATTGTGCTCTGTGTTCGGCGACCAAACTACGTGCCATTCCATGCGTGCTTCCTCCTTTCCCCGAAATGACCGTCCCTCGCACTAGATAACATCGTTGTATAACGTTTGAAGATCCCAGCCCCAAGCCCTAAACTTCAAACTGCAACGCTGGATCTGAAGCCCCGAGTGCAAAACCCAACGTCGTGAAGCCCAAGCCGTGATCCGCAAACCAAGCCCTATTTTACAAACCCAGCGTTCACTTCCTTTTCTGAACATGGTCTCAGCTACAGTCTAAACTCCTTAAAAGGGGTCTTTTGGGGGACTTTATGGGGGACTCGTACGTATCGGGGTTATTAGGGGGAGACTGGGAGTTTAGAATACCGCTCATCTGAGCTTCCAGAGTAGCCTAACCTTTGGAGCAGGATTATAATCGTGAGATTTTCCTGCGGCACGCGCGGCGACTCGGAGTTGAGGAGCGCTGCATGGGAATCGGGCTCAGGCTTCATGGGGGCTTAGGGTTTAGGGTTTAGGGTTCAGGCTAGAAGTTAAGAGATTGTAGGTCCCGGGGGGGGTGAGGTTCTAGTGGGGGGTGGTTCCGGGGGTGCAGGAGGGGGTGCAGGAGCTTGGAGGTTGGTGGTTTTGCTTAAGGTTCTTGGGTTTTTTAGGGTTCCGGGGTCTTTTTGTTTGTTCAGAAGTGTGGGGTTTAGGGGAAGTCCACAACGAGAGTGTGGCTTTGCGAAAAAAGGGGGCCCGCAATTAGACAGGCCCACGGCTGATGTTCGCCTCGTTATAAAAGTTGCTGCGAGTGCGAACTGATCCTTGGCATTTTTCTTTTGCAGGCTATTCTCAAACTGGGCGTCTTTTGGGTTTCAAAACATCCATAAACCTGTGCCGCAGATGCGCAGAACCTTAAGTCCCGAACCCAGAAAGCTAACTGTTTCCGCAGCTGCGCATAGCTCTTTGTGGTTGGTATTCCCCCACCTTGCACAGGCTAGTCATGAAGCGCTTTATCTGGGAGTTCTGTACAGCAGACAGACTTGCAATTGTTGTTGTGTAAATGCTTTCCATATTTGCAGTGCAGATAGGATGACTGTTCTTGTTTATTTGCAGGTTGACTTGCATCATTGCAGTTCCGGTGCTAAATCTAAGCCTTGAATCCTAAGCCGCTAAGCCCTAAACCTTACCCCCTAGACCCTAATAATACATAATAATACTTGATGAGCTACCCTCACATGCCCAAGTGAAAAATTGCAGGTGGTAGATATTTTCCAGAGCCCCAAATACATGACAGACCCTCTGAGAAACTTGTGGGTTCCCTCAAATTTCCTTGCTGGGTTCCAGGGGTCTGTCCTATAAATCGGGGCCCGGAAATCTACCCCCTTAATCTCCGAAAAATCACCCAAACCAAGAATAAGCGCACTTTGGAGGATGCGTCTGACCTCAGCGAGCTTCGATTTCTAGTCCAGGCACACAGAGGTTGTCGAGTGATTCTGGTGGTTTGTAGAAATCACGGGTTCCCTTTCGGGAGTCTTTCTGATAAGGATTACATCATTATTCTGGGGCAGCAGGACAGGACACATATGTACTGTAATGAGCTCACGTCCCTTTGTTAAAACCATACAGTCTGGTCCTGGACATCACAACACTTACAGTCCAAACTCCTGAAAGGGGGTTACATAAAGATTATATACGGAATATTATGAGGGTTTTGAAGGGGGATACTAGGAGTTTAGACCCTCAACCCTAATCCCTAATCCCTGAACCCTAAACCCTTAACCTCTAGGGTTATGCAGGGGGATCCTAGGAGTTTAGACTAGCTCATAAGTCTCCACCATTGTCATCACCCACGAAGACGGGTAACGTCCCTCAGACATCTGGAGCCCCTCAAAAGCTCTACGCAAATTTAGGGTTTAGGGTTTAAGGTTTAGGAAAGTCACATGCAAAGTCAAATGGGAAGTGACGACAATCAAGGGACTTGAATGATTTTCTTAGGGGCCGAAATGTAGGGAAGCCTAAATGATGAACAAATATTTCCCGTTCTAACCCTTAGAGTTATCATGTAAGGTTAGCCCGACATGACCATCCCCAATGACCTATGGTCACCTGGAAAAAGGTAAAACAGCCTGTTCGCAGTGGCCCGTTTGCCTTAAACCCTGAAGCCTAAACCCACCTTGGGTTTGCTGCGCGCTTTAGGGTTTGGCTACAAGGTTCCTGAACATATTTTTAAATTTCTGTTACCTAGAATCCTAACATTTAGCTGAAATTGTAATTTCTACTGGGGTTCCAAATCCCTTAGAGTTAGGGGTTTAGGGCTAAGGGTTGCCTGTTAGTTTTTTTCTTGCCCAGCTTTTTAGCCGCCCCAAGCTCACCTGAGCTATAGTCTAAACTCGTTACAGGGTTTAGGAGATTATATAGGTGAGTATTATGGGGGTGATTTCGGGGGATGCTGGGAGTTTAGACTGTTGCTCACATGGAATCATTCAAGGCTTGGGGTTCAGGGATCATGCTTTGGGGTTTAATGCGAATGTTTTTGCTTCGACTAAGCTGGCACATGGCATCCCATTTAGGTTCTAGGGGTGAGGGCTTCGAGGATATCATAGCGCCAGCGTCCGCTGAACTAGAAGGGAATTCTGTTCCAGCGTTAGGGCTCAGGGATGCGGGGTCAGGGTTTAGGCCTGTATAACGATGTTTCGGGGGTAGGCTCGCCTAAGCTAGCACGTGGAACCCCACTGACATGGACAGCCTCGGGATAACCCCCTCCCAGCTAGCATGAAATCTAATTTCAGGTTTACGGAGGGTTTTGGGTTCAGTGATTTTATGCGGACATTTGAGGGGTAGCCTGTAGGGTTGGACATGGAAGCCCATAGAGTGCTTCTTCCTAAGAAGCCCCCCCATGTTGGGCAACAGACGGCTGCACTTTGTCAACCTGAGAGCCTGGACCTGAAACCACACACCTCAAGCCCTACTGTGGAGCCTGAACCCAAACCCTAACCGTCAAACCCTACCCCTAAACGCTAACCCTAAATTTCAAAGTCAAGAGGCCTGCAGCTATTGAGGTGTTTGGAGTGTTGCACGTACCTAGCTCGGCTCATAGTTTTAGCTACGGCGCTCAGAATTCCTAAACCCTAAACCCTAAACCCTAAACCCCTAAACTTAAAACCCTACACCCTAAACCCCTAAACCCTAAACCCTTGAATCCTAAACCCACAACCCTCTGTTTGAGAATGCGCCTTGCATAGGCTAGGCTGGGCTCAATTCCCAACGGAATCCCGAACTGGGCCTTACCTGGGGTGGTTTCCCAAAAATACAGGTACCAGCATTTCAAAGGGGTTCATAGTGGTTATAAAGGGGGATCTAGGGTTGGGGTTTCCCAAAATTTTGAGTATCATTTTGGGGGTCTCCATGATGAAGATTATAGTATTTGGGAGTCTATATTGGGTTTCCCCCATTTATAGAAACTACCATCTGAGTCCCTGCACAATTTGCCTACATCCCCTCAGGTGTTGAAGAATTCACAGAAGTATGATGTGGACAAGCCAGTAATTGTGTTCTTGGGCGAGGAGCGCGCCAGGATGTGCAAGATAGTTTCTGCCTTCCTTTTGTTGCTCTGCAAAACCTAGATATCACGTGCGTTTCTGGTTTCAGGTTATTTTCCGCACTGACGGACATGCTCGTGATAGTTGTTATTGTCATGATGCTTATCGTCGCTTCATTAGTGACCATCATCATGAGTACAATCTCGCCATCACTGTTGTTTCGTTCATGTCTAGTTTGGCCCATTGCCACCATGTTAACAAAGCTTTTTGCATTGCCTGTTTGCTTGATAACTTTAACCCTGTACCCTGGTCCTAAACCCTAAATCCTATGGCTTCGAAGCTGGTCGGCACCTCTACATGTTAATTTAGTATGGTTACAGACGACCAAAGGGTTTACACATTCTGTTTCCAGGTATGAAAACGCATGAGTGGTTGGCAAAACGTGAATCCCCTCTAGGCCGCGCATGACGCCCTGGTAATCTCCACATACCCCTAAGGTCCACTACAGGGTGCCCCTGCTTTGATGCATTCCCATATGATCACGCATTGCATTGTGCCTGGGTCTGGCCGATGGGGGTCCCAGGCTTCCATTGGAGAGTGTTGTTTCAGTCGCTGTTTTGGGGAGCGGTAATTTGATGGACGCGGGGTATGTAAAAGTGTGTTAGATATGCTATTCTTGCTTGTTGGATAACTTGGGACTGTCCAAGAATACGCTGTCCTTTAAATGAGGTCTTTGTACAAGGCATCCTCAGATGTGGGTATATCTCCAGGCCCTAGGCACTGAACTCCAAACCTACAAGCTCATAATCCGAAGTCCAAGGATCCTCGGGTTTAGGGCTCAATTCTCCATGGTTCAAAAAGGCTCAGAGTCAGGTGTTTGGAGGTACGGATTGTCAGGTTCAAGTTTGAGAGTGTGAGGTTAAGGCCCAAGGGTTTAGACTTGAGTAGCAACATGCCCCTCCAAGGCTTCCCGAGGGCAAGGAAGATGATGAGAAAACTGTATGAGGTATGGCTTTTGCCTAGTTTTTGGGTGGGTGTAAATAGTATTCCTTGGACAATTTTTGGTCTCTCTTGCGGGGGCCCTATACGTAAAGGGGCTGGGCTTTTGGACACTAAACCCGGATATCTCCCTTTTCTGGTAACAGTCATGTATAGCATCCTCATTGTGGGTATAGTCCCCCTTAAGTAGATGGGATATGGGGTATGTGGTGGTCTTATCATGATATTGGGCAACTCCATATTCTATGTACTTAGGAGGTGCTATATGTTTGGATAGTTCGGCAATTTCAAGATGAGCAACTGTTCTGGGGTGGGGGGCAGTCGCCAACCCTAAGCCTCGAACCCTTGACTCTAGATTAGGGTTTAGGGATTAGGGTTTAGGGTTTAGGGCCTGAAGTCCAAGTTTCTGAAGGGTCCCGGAGAATTCTGCCCACAGCCATGGTTTAAGCTATATGGATTTTTCTCTAAACCTTTGCATAACCCATTGATGTATTCACAAATCTTAGTTTGAGTGCCCTGAGTGAGTATCAAACCCTAAAGGCTAGAGCCCAAGCCCCAAACCAACCCTGAGCCCTGAATCCTAAACCCGAAGCCCTAAACCTTGATCCCCTAAACAATTAAACCCTGAACCCGCAGCACCAGGGACTGACCACCTGGACCTCTGGTCGGCTTTAGTCATTGGGGCTTTACTCCAGAGCCTGAATTACAAGCTTAAGGGATAGGGTTTAATGATTCGGGTTTAGGGCTTAAGATTTAGGGGAACTACGCCAATTATGGATCAAGTGGGAAAGAAGATGGACAATTACATGGAAACCTTGCGTACATATGTGGGTTTACATTAAGTAGTAGGAGGGTTGTTGTTACCATAGCCCGTCAAATTAGGAGTATGATTCTCAAGTTATGGGGTCCTAAGTTTAGGGGTTCAGGTAACCCAAATTCCTGATTAAAGCTTCATGCTGCCACGAACATCCCAGCACAGGAAGCCCTACCCTAAGCTTTAAACTCTAAACCCCAAACTCTAAACCCTAAACTCTAAACTCGAGACCCTAAACAGTAGCTTGCATTGTCCTTTCCATTATCCCTACACAACCCTAAAAACAACGTACAAACTTGCCCCTAAACCCTGAATTACCCTAAACCCTGAATAGCCCTTCACCCTAAACCCTAAACCCCTAAACCCTGTGCCCCAAACCTGCGCCCTAAACCTTAAACCCTAAACTCTAAATCCTAAACCCTAAACTCTAAATCCTAAACCCTAAACTCTAAACCCTAAACCCTTAACCCTTAAACCCTGATCCCCTAAACCCGTAAACCCTAAACCCTAAACCCTGAGCCAGGAGCGCTGGCTTCCTCAACTCCAAGAGCTCGACCTGCCGTACCGGAAGCCTTTCGTGGTCGCTTGGTTTGATGATTCTCCCCAAGCCTGGCTATATTGGGCTTCTATAGGGATAATGGAAAATAAAATGGAAGCTACAATATATAGGGATTATATAGGTATTATTTTAGATAGGGGTTATATAGTGGTTCTATAGGGATAATGGAAAAGAAAATGGAAACTACTATAGTATATTGGGGTTATATATTAGGGTTATATAGGGATAATGGAAAAAGAGATCGAAACTACGGGATTATATAGGGATTACATAGGGAGCATGTAGGGATTATGTAGGACACCACGTTCACCATCTTGCCATCTTCCTAACTTCATTCTCCCATTTGAAATTTCTCCGAGTCCTCATACCCGTTTACAGAAGTCTGTGATCTTCACCGATTCTTACGCGAGCTCGGCCCTAAACCCTAATCCCTAAACCTTAAACCCTAAACCCTAGTTCTGATCTTCAATGCCCATGAGGATGTGATTTTGTTTTCCGTGCCATGCCGCCTTTTTAGATTTCCAGGGGGTTGTGAGGGCCGTGCTAATCAAGCAGCTCCGAGGAGCAGGATCTGAGGAGAAAAGGTCCGAATAAAACAAAAAAACAAGAAAACGTAAACCCTAAGTCCTAAACCCTTAGGGCTTATAGGCTTTCCTTAAGCCCCAAAACCTTAAACCCTAAACCCCTAAACCCTAAGGTGAAACCTTGAGCCCCAAACTCAACTTGGAGCCTCAACTTGAAAGTCCAAATCTTGACGCAGGGCTATATTGGGGTTCTATAGGGATAATGGAAAAGAAAATGGAAACTATTATCTATAGGGGTATGATATAGAGTTATATAGGGACTTTGTTAGAGATTATATGGGGGTTCTAAAGGGATAATGGAAAAGAACATGGAAACTACTAGGTCAACGGGTCATAGAACGCCTTGACGTTTTTTACGATTCTCGATTCGTCGCACATCCTGTTTTCCCTACGCATGCCAATGTTTCGTGCATTGCGCAGAAATTACGCTTGAAAATCGTCGCATTGAGGTGTACCGGTAAGAAGTAGTTTTTGGGGGTTTTAAGGCCTCCATCAGAC